AAGCTGGGGGTATGGGACAGGAAGCTGGGGCACTAGGACAGGAAGCTGGGGGACTGGGACAGGAAGCTGGGGGACTAGGACAGGAAGCTGGGGGTCTGGGGCAGGAAGCTGGGGGTGTGGGACACAAGTTTGTCTGGGGATGCTGGAGACCAGTGCATTCTATGCTTTTCTGCACGGTGGAATAGCCCAGGTAGCTTTTACATCTCTGTGACCAGTTCCCCAGTGACACCACCTTAGGTCAGTCAGAATTTCTGCATATGGTGGAGATTTCTTGCTTTGTAAGTCCCCCGGGGACTCCAATACACAGCCCAGCTGGACAGCTGGGCCACACCGCAAGGGACCCTTCCTGGTGTGGATCTGGGGATGCAGTTTGGACAGGAAGGCGTGCGGGGATGGAGCGTGGCAGGGTCACCAGGCCGTGGAGCGGTGTCACAGGGAGGAACCTCAGCCTCCTCACCACAGCCAGTGAGCCCAGAAACTCCCGGTGCCCCAAGGCAGGTGGTGTGGGTGGTGCAGACCCTCCAACGGGAATGAGGAACGGCTGGCACAGACGGTCCTGGCCCAGGTGCCCAGGTCCATGTGCAGATCCTGAGGTTGGAGGTTGAGAGATGGAGCCCTCAGCCCCTAAGGGAAGGGAGGGCATGCAGGACCCTGGCCATGCTGCTGGCTCCACTGCACTGCCTGGGAGCGGGGCAGGGGCCCGGGTTCCTCTCGGCACATGGGAGCTCCCTGGTTCCCAGTTTGAACACTGGGGTTCCCCTCCTCCTCCTCCCTCTTCATCTCTTCCTCCTCTTCTTCCTCCTTTCCTTTTTCTTCCTTTCCTCCTCTTTCTCCTCCTCCTCCTTCTTTGAGGTACTGAGGATTAAAGCCTGGGCCTTGATAGAGAATTACATCCCTAGCCATTCACCTTTAAAATTATTTTTTGTTATGAGACAGAATCTCTCTCAGTGCTAAGTGCCCAGGCTGGGCTCAAACTTGCAGTCCTCCCGCCTCAGCCTCCCATAGTGCTGGGATTCCAGGTGTGAGGCACCACACCGGGCTTTGCATGCTCCTTGAGGCCACTGAGCCTGGGGCAGTCTTGGCTTTGGGCGGATGTGAGACAGTAGCCCCTGCCGGTCCTCTTGTCTGCTTGCTCAGCCTCTTCGGCCTCCGCAGAGGAAGACAGGGACTTCGGCGATGCCCACCTTGGGTGGAGAGAAGTGGAAAGCAGATGTCCAGAGAACAAAATCAAATGTAAAGCGTGACCTTACTCCTCTCTGAAGTGCCTGGGCCAGGTGGACCCCAGGAACTGCGTGTTTGTGCCTCACCCTGACTCTGCACCTCATCCCCAAGGAGTGGGGACCTTCAATCATGCCAAGCTGGGTGTCCCCAGACTCCTGACTCCAACCAGGCCAAGTTGGCGGAGGGGAACACAGAATGCAAATTTGCAGCCCTCAGGATGTCCTGTTTGAATAGCTAATATGTACCACTGCGAGAAAGTTCGCAGATGAAGAAACACAAAATGTTGCTGGTTTTAAGCAAAAACATGACACTCAATCATCTATGCTGAATGCTTCTTGTGACAAGTGTTATTTGGATGACCTTGAGTCTTCCCCTTGAGTCCTGACAGGTGTGTGTGTGTGTGTGTGTGTGTGTGTGCAAACCTAGGCAGCCTGAAAACTTGGGATTCTCTCAGCAAGGGCCGCAGGCACGTTAGACAGTTGGCTTCTTTATTCAGCAGTTAAATTCCTCATCTCTGTCAAGATCTATAGCATAACCGAGCCTTCCAGCATCTGCTTTTCTTTCCTACGAAGGTCCTGAGGGACTTGCATAATTTTTGGTGTAAGTCAGCACTTTGCCAGAAATAATCTTTTTCCTTTTTTTTTTTTTTATGAGTATATGTTTTTGGTTGCTTTATTTTTTCTTTGTAGAATGACCCCGCATTCTAACGCAATGTAGGCATGAAGTTGGTCGTGGAATTCATGCTTACCTGTTGATCCCGGGCAGGCAGCCCTCCAGGACCTCGATGTTAGCGGCTCTGATCTCCCAGGTGAAGAGAGCTGGGCCCAGTGGTGGTGGCTCATATGGGAGCCACATCCTAGGGTGTGAGAGGGCCTCCGAGTGCCCCGGTTTCCGGGCCCAACCTAGTGTCCTCCACTCCCCCCGAAGCTCTACATTCAGTTTGCGGATAAGGAAATGTGATGGATGCAATTTGCTTGTGGGAGAGCCAGTGTTTTGGCTGCTGAACCCCTTCTCTTGGGCAGCCAGGGGCTTCTCCTTGTGTCTTCTGCTGGGGATGCAGTCGGCTGGGCACCCAGTAGGGCAGAGTAGCACCCGCGCCTTCACTAACATTCTTGTCTGAGGAACCCACTTCGGCCTCTTCTGGAGTTTGGGCCCCAGGATAACCCTTCGAGGTCTCCCAAATGAAAGGTTAGGTCTGTGGATGTTGACAATGAAACCCTTTTCTCCATGAAAAATGGGAGCCATTGGCTATCAAGGAAGGCCCTGGTAGCAGGACTGGAGGAAGTGCTGAGGTTAGTGTTCCAATGAGGACGTGGTTATTGGTGCTTAGGATCCAAGCGCCTGTGTGTGTGTGTGTGTGTGTGTGTGTTGGTAAAAATATAGAAGTACCATCTGCTAACTTGGTAACTAGCTGATTAGTTCATTGGTGATGCTTTGGGTTGGAACCATCTCGAGTGGTTTCCCACATCCGGCTGAGCGTGTTCTAGACTTTTTTTGGAGACTGATATTTTGTGGCACCTCAGGATGACCAGTCAAAATGACATTTTGTCTTCTAGTTTAGCTGGTGGAGCCTGCATGTAATAGTGTATAACAAAGTGATCAAGAAATATTAGTTGTTTTTGAAATAGGGATGTCAGATAAATGACAGGGACACCCTGATTGTAAGGGTTGTTTGCTGTGAGCTACACAGATATGCAAATGTGTGCACACCCACAAACAACTACACAGATATATACATTCTTTCCCCCACACTCACACATGCACACAGCTCCACACACCCACATTCACACTCATGCATTTGCCCACTCATTCCTACACACACATATCAACATGCACACTTTCACACACCCACACACAAATGCAAACACAGGCACATTCATACATGTTCACACATGCACACGAAGCCCTCACACACTCACTGACACTACACTAGCACATAATCACACACTCCGACACCTATGCAACTCAAACGGGTTCATCCAGAGCACAGAGTCATCAAAACATGCAACAGTCTTCAACTACGGATCTTTCCAAGGAGCTTGCTGCCATGTGCCTGCAAGGAAACTGAGATGGTTTCCTGCAGAGAGAGCCTTGAACATTCAAAAGTGGAGAGGGGTCACTGGCTAGGCCCGGGAAGCCTCAGGTGCAGAGCCCTGAGGACCTGGGAGAGACACCAGAGCCTCTCCTGGGACGTCCAAGCTGGGGTTCTCCAGCTTCCTCTCACTGAGTGCCCAGCTGTCCTAGTGCCTGCAGGGTCCCCTTCAGGAAGGGAGCATGGGCCTGGACCTGGTGCTGCCACTGCCCTGGGCTGGGGAAAGGTCTAAACAAGAGTCCCTACCCCAGAGCAAAGCTCAGCATGCATCATTAGACACAAGCCCTCCCTCATGAGTCACTTAATCAATTTATTTAATGCACACATTTCTAAGACATTCTGCAGGAAATGTCAATATGCCTTGGACAGAAGCCTCCCATGTGCTCACTGTGAAGCCAGCCGAGATCCTGAATCCCCCGCACAGGTGGGAGGCCTGCTGTCCTTGTCTCAGACCCGGCTCCCCAGGGTTGGTGCTCCTGTGTGGTCTCTGATCTGACCCGGAGCCCCCGTGTGTGCTGCTGTCCTTCCAGACTGTTCCTTCCATAGCGCGTTAGGGATGAGGACCTGGACCCAGAGTGTTCCTTCCTGGAGGATCTGCCTTGGTTCTCCATGGATGTGTGACCAGTGGCCAGGACTCCTGTGGACAGCGAGGATCTGCATTGCTCCTCTGGAGGAACTCGCTGTTTGCACCCCTCAGTGCCCAGGGAAGAGAAGTAACTGGGCAGCGTCTCCATCAGCAGGAAGTGAGTGGCAGTGGGGCAGCCCTGTCACCTTGTACTGCAGATGGAGAGACAGGGTCTTAGCCACTTTCCTGTCCCTGGGACAAAATACCCAACACTCGCAGCTCAGAGGAGGAGAGGCTGACTTGGGCTCACAGGTTCAGTCCATGGTCCATGGTCGGTGGCTCCAAGGTGGAGATGGGACAGGAGAGGGGAAGATGCACAACACGAGGCAGCCAGGAGGCAGGGAGAGCGGGGAGGAGCCTGGGACAAGAGCACAGCCTTCAGGTCACCCCCGGGACTCCGCCCCTCTGGCCACGCCTCCCTCAGTTCAGTCAGCTCTGAATTCTTCCATGATGAATCCACTGGTGAGCAGAGCACCCCAGGATCCATCACCTTCCACACAGGAGGCTTTTGGGGGACATTTTAGATCCAAACCATACATGAAAGAAATTAAATCCTAACAGACCAAGGCAGTTTTGCTGAGTCCCGTAAGCTCAGTCTTAACAAGACAGGGCACGCACTCCTCCTCCGTCCCTCGGTGGGTATTTATTTACCCAGGGGCTTTGATGGGCACTTGTGCACTGCCACTGTGGACTAGCGAGGCTGGGATTGGCTGCTTTCACAGGTGATAGGAATGGCCTGAGGCCTGGTCAGGTGCCTGCAGTCACGGGGCCCCAGGGCAGGTGCTGGCTGGCTCCCTGGTGTGCTGAGGATGAGTGCAAGGCAGACTCTCCATGGCACGCTGGTGAGCTGGCCTGGCTGAGCGCAGGAGCCAGGGGCCGGCTGGACAGTCACCAGAGCCTCAAAGTCCCCTCCCAACCATGCAGAGTGGAGGGGGAGGGTGCAGCTGTGGGATTCTGGTCACCCCTGGTAAGCCAGGCTGCAGCCCCATGATCCAAGCAGAAACAGGAGGTCTTCGGGTTTTCATTCACCCCTGTTTCTCTGGAAACATCTGTAGCAAATCCTGCAAGTGAAGAAGACTGGGGGCTCCCCGTGGAGGCAGCCAGGGAGGAAAGCAGGGTGTCAGCTGTCTTTCAGCCCTGCCTAGAAATAGGAAACCCTACAGGGGCTGGCAATGGCCAGCCCCTTCCTGTCACCAGGCCCATGGAGTCACTGTGCCCAGCACTCCATGCCCTGAGCTTCTGGCCATGCAGAAAGATGAAATAGGGTAGGGGCGCTCAGTTCTGTGGGAGTCTGGGATGATGGGCAGAGGGGTTCCAATGGCGAAGAAATGGTGTAACAAGGAGGAAGGAAAGTACCAGTGTGGTTCATCCCATGTATCAGCCAGCTTTTCCATTGTGGTATGGATTGTGGTATACCTGAGGTATGCAACGTAAAGGAGGCATGGTTTATTTAGCTCATGTTCTCAGGGGGTTCAGTCCACGGTCAGCTGGATCCAAGGCAGAAACATCATGGCAAACAGTGTGAGGGAGCAAAGCTGCTCAGTTCAGGGCAGCTGGAGATCAGAGTGATCATCTCCATGAGCCCCACCTAACAGCTCACCCAGCTAAGACCTGAGTGAATTAATCCCCTGGCCAGCTAAGCCAGTCAAGCCAACACCTGGGGTTAACTGTACATCCCAGGTACAGTCTGGAGACTGTTCTATTTAGGGTGAGGTTTAATCCTCACCACCTCTTCACAGATGAGGAAACTGAGGCCTGAAGGTGGGAGTCCTTCATCTGGCAACAGAATGCATGAATGTGAGGTGGTGCCCAAGGCAATCCAGGTTCCCAGCACGTCTGTCGCCAGACCCACACTGCTGACTCCTCCTCCTCTGCTTCTTCTGAGTGTTGTCTGCTGCAGCTGGGGCTCCGTATCTCCTGGGGGAAGGGTGCAGGCGCCCTGAGCTTCCCTCCACGTTCACTGCAGATGAGGCTGGTAGTGAGTGTGGGGCCAGGGGAGGGAGACAGGAGCAAGTGTGCACCTCGGGGGTGAGGACACACGGGACCTGCCACGCGGGGCACCCAGCATGGGCCACTCGGGCACCTGCGGTTCAGAATGCAGACAGACGCCTGGTGGGCGAGGGGCAGAGGCAGGGAGGGAGGGGAGGAAGGCAGTGGGGGTGTCACGGTTGGGACGAAGGAGAGCAAACACCCGCAGAGGGAAGTGGGCGCATAGTTAGAGGTGGGGGCGGGGGCCCAGAGGGCGTAACAGGAACAGGCACTGAGCTCAGTGACCAGCAGGGGCCTGGGAGGGGCCACGAGACAGCGCTGCGCTGGCTCTTTCCGGGGCCCCGCAGGGCCTCGTCAGCATGGTTACCCCGTGGGGGCCCCTGCGCCCGCCCCGTCCTGTGACACAGGCTCCCCTCACCCCTTCTGCGCCTGACTCAGGTGAGGACGTGCGGCTCTTTGGTTCACTGTAGGTGGAAGGGTAGCCAAAGGGGCAGCGCTGGGACTGCACCATCAGTGCGAGTGCAGAGATGACGGGAGGAGGAGAGGTTCGAGAGCCGGAGGAGGAGCGGGAGGCAGCCTCATGTAGTACAGGGCAGCTCTCACCTGCCCCGGAAGAGCGCAGGCTGTCACCGCGGAGGGGCAGGGTCACAAGAGAGGCCCGGAAACTCCGCCATTGCCATGGGAACCACTGCCTGCTCAGCTGCCAGGACCCCATTGATGTTTAGGGGTTTGAGGTGTCTCAGCTGCCTCAGAGGATGCTTCTGCTGCAGACCCAGCATCCAAGATAGGAAGTCACCACGGTGCCACAAAACTGGCTGCCAGGCAGAGGGGCTCGGCGTTCAGGACACACACAGCCTGCTCCTGCGCTGCGGTGGGTCCCCTCACCGCTACTTCCTCCCAGGAACGGGTCGTTTACTGCATTTGAGACTCCAGAGTGTGAGCATCAGAGAAACCTAGGACGTCCTAACCCCGACCCCACATGACCACCAGGGAACCACGGCCATGCCCAGCTTCATTCCTTCATCCAGCAGCTACTTCATCCCCTTTACCAAAGTCACTCTGAATTAATCAGAGCACTTCACTGATCGCAGACGTCTCTGCAGGGCAAGAAACAGCGAGCTCAAGAAAGGCCACAGTAAATCCCTGACTTCAAGGCGGTTAAGTCCTGGGTGTGACACTTCCCTTATTATTATGTTCATATTTAGGAGGCTGATGAGCACAAAAACAAAATCAATTTTAAATATGTCTCGTCTGAAAAGGAAATTGTTTTGGTAGAAAAATGCTGGAAAGATTCTCATCCTTAAGGGTGAGGGAAGAAGGTGGCATTTGCAAGCTCTTGCCACTAGATGGCAACATCTGAGCACGGAGTTTCAGGAGCTGGGCCAGCGCTGGAGGTCTCAAGCCCGCCAGCTGCCCCTGTCCTGCGATGAATCAGGGGCCCAAAGCTCCTCTTTCGCACATCCCCGAAGTTCAGCTCTACTTCTGCCCCTGTCCTGCTTGAAAACTTACCCAGGTTCCCTCTTGTTAAAGCCTCAAATGTCACCTGCCATCTTCATACTTGGATTATCAGTTCAGTCCCTTCTGCGCGCCCTGTATTCTGGGGACAGTGGTGTTGACCAGCCGCTGGTGCTGGGGTTCTGGCGTTGCTGTGCCTGGGGGGACCCAAGCCACCCACCCCGAGTCCCTGGCTTCCCGCTCCCCACCCTGATCCCTTCCTTGGTTGGACCTTTCCGTGCAGCCACCTCTGCTGAGCATCGGCCACATGGAACCCACACTTCCTCGCCATCTGGGAGCAGCCTTTGTCTCTGGGGGACGCCTCCCACCTTTTGGTCCTGGGGAAGCCCCTGAAGCTGTGTGGCCGGAGGATCAGGGCCTCGAGCTGCGGAGCAGGGTCTCTGGGTGGTCTTCACGGCGCACGCCTGTGGCACCGAGGTCAGTAGAGGTCACTTCTTCTGCCCACTGATCCGATTAGTGCACACTGACTCAGCAGCTCTCGGGCCAGACACAGGCTGCGTCCTGGTGATGCCGTGTGAGCCAGGTCTGACTCACTCCTTCCAGGAGCAAACCGCAGAGCGGGGAGGAGAGAGAAACTCCGACCGGCCCCGGCCCTGGCGTGTGTGGTCTGCAGCCTGGGTGGGTGATACAGCCACAGGGGTGCCACATCACCTCAGGCACCTGGAAGGGGGACAGCTCCGCAGAAAGCAGCATCTAAGACCCACCAGGCTTGAGAGAAGACCCCCATTCCTCTCTTCCTTTTTATTCCCTCTGCCTGGTGGGGCCCACTTCCTTTCTTAGCAGTTGAGTAGAGGAGGACTGGGGGTCTCCCCGTGAGTGACAGGAGGGGTTATTGCCATCTCCTCCTGCATTTACCTGGGGTCTGAGTTTCTTCTCCTTGGGAGGTGTGGCTCCTTTACCATGGCGTGGGTTGGGGTGTCCACCTGGCTCTTCCTGAGCAATGTGTTTTCCAGAGTTCCTTTCCAGGCTGGGCTTGGTTTCACGTGGATAGTCCAGAGTCTAGCTATGGATCCCTTTGGGGGTCAGTCAGGGTCTAGCTATGGATCCCCACATGAGCCATCCAGGGTCTAACTATGGATCTCTGTATGGGTCAACTAGGGTCTAGCTGTGGATCCCTTTGTAGGTCAGTCAGGGCCTAGCTGTGGGCTTGGAAGGATTTAGCCACATAGCCATTGTTGGTTCAGGTCTTTAGTGAGACAAAGATTCTACTCTGGGTTAGGAAGTCATTAAGTTCCTAGTGGAGCTGGAAGACAGATCTCATATTAAAGTGTGTCCCTTTACCTGGCTCCTTCTCCATGCCTATGGTTCTTTTGTGAGTCTTACAGTCTACCAGGGAAGCATTCTTTTGTGTAGCTTATCATTTCAAAGAAAATTTATATTTGTCTCTACTCTTGAATTCAAATCTTCTACACTGTCAGCTGATTGGAAAGTGAAAGAGACAGGCATGGGTTTAAGCGCTGTGTTGCATACTGGCAGCTCTAGTCTCTGGTGCCTTTATATTTTCATCTGACCATGTGCTGATTCCCGTGGAAAGCTGTGAGCTAAAGCTTCCAGGACTCAGATAGGACTGGGCATGCCAATGTTTGGCCTTGCTTTGCTTTGATTTTATCTTCCCTGCACCGTCTCTGTTTGACCAGGCTCTATCAAATTTATTTCTCCCAGCTCTGGAGGCTGGAAATCCAAGACCACGGTGCCACCAGATTCAGGGTCTGGTGAGGCCTACTTCCTGTTTCCTAGATGGCTCTTCCTAGCAGTGTGCCCCATGGTGGAAGGGGTGAGGGAGCTCACGTGGGTCTCTCCCATTTGGGCTGCAGCCCCTGTGTCCTGCTGACCTCCCAAAGGCTGTATCTCCTGGGGGTTAGGATCCCAGCATATACGTTTCGGGGAGACACCACCATTTACATGGTAGTGCCTACCAAATGCTTGTGAGGTCACCACCTGGCTTTGTGCTCACTATTGCCAGCTTCCAACCCCAAAGAGGATTCTCCTTGGATCTGAGTAGTTTAGGGTGCCAGAGCGGACATGGCTCCTTGGGTGGGTGGGAAGTCACGGGGACTCGCGTGGGCCTGGTAAGCGCCTCGAGGGTCTCTAGTGTTCTGTCCCAGCACCACATTTGGATTCCTTTCTCATGAGCAAAACTGTAGGACCTGGGGGGTGGATCCTTGTCCATGTTTCCTTTGTGTTATTTGAAACATGAAGGGGTTCCATTCGTTTTTCCCTAGACTATCTCCCAAGTCACCTTTATCCAAAATGGCAAAGGAGCAAGATTTCTCTCTTTTTTTTTTTGTATTAAATTCTTTTATTGGTACATTGTAGGTATACAACACAATTACATTTCTCATTGGGAATTGTACCTTTACATGATGCATCTTGGTTCTTATTTTTTCCCCATTCCTAGCCCTCCCTTCACCCCCTCCACCCTTCCCTATTTACAAAGACTTTATTTCCAGTTTTTCCATTTCTCATCATTTTTTCCTTTCCCTTCTTTCCTTTCCCCTGCCCCTCCCACTACTCCTACCCCTTTGGACCTTTTCTTCCTATTTTGCACTATCGATTATTCATTCTAATCATTGGTACATTTTAGGAATACAATATAATGACATTCATCATTGGAAATTTGCACCTTTCCATAATCTCTCTTGGTTCTTATTTTTCACCCTTGCCCAGCCCTCCCTTCAACCCCTCCAGTCCTCCCTAGTTGCAAAGATTTTGTTCCTATTTTTCCATTTTCTCATATTAATCCCATTCCCTTCTATCCTTTCCCCTAGCCCTCCCACTTCCTTCCCCTTAGGAGCAAGATTTCTAAATAAAGGAAGTTCAGACAACAGGTTCTCCCTCCCCCTGCTTTTCTCTGGATGGAAACACAGGGCTCTATGCAAACACAGTTAGTGTACCTGAGTCAGGTAAGGATTGCACACCCCCCCCAGGCACCTCTGCAGGAGGTGGGGAAGCCCAAAGGGGTGCTGGCTATCATGGAGGAAGGGTTGGGGTCAGGGGCTTGAGATGCAGCTCTCAATCTCACCCTCACTATGTGAGTCACCTCAGCAAGCCTACTGAGCATCAGTCTGTGAGCTGCACAAAGAGGGGAATAAAAACAAGAAACCTCAGGGAAAGCAGCCACAGTGTTTGTGGCCGGACAGCACCTTAGGAAACACCCGAAGCCCTCCCTGCTTATTACCTTACTGTAAACCCAAGAGGTGGGTGCGTCAGGAGGGGCGGTGGGGCTAGATGCTGGATGCCTCTGGCTCACAGGGTCACTGGACTGTCTTCCTCACTCATGGAAATAGCTCTGGCATATCTGTGAGAATCAACCCAGGCAGGTCCAAGGCCCAAGTGGAAGGCAAGTGGAATGGCGTCCTCACAGGGACAAAGGGATTCATGTCACACACTAGACTAGGGTGTAGGTCGAACAACCTGAGGCTGCCTCCCAAAGACTCAGTGAAAAGTGCAATTCTGTCCCAGGATGAACAGCCAGGCCTCGGTCAGGCGAAAGGCCGGCATTCCAGATGAAGGGGGGATCAGGAGGCTCAGGACTAAAAATCCCACCAGCCAAAGAGGTCTATGGGCAAAAATGGGAAGTGCTTATAGAAATGAGTTTAGAAAACTGACTTCAGATACAAGCCTACAGGAGATGGAAATTCCACAGCCGGTGTACCCCAGGGAGAGAAGGGGCCCCAGCCTAAGGGCTGTGACAATTTTCAACCTCTTGTAAATCTAACAATTCCATCCAGGTCAACACTTCTCCCAGAGGAACCCAATACAGATGATAGGAACTGCTTGTTTATTTTTAACTTTTAAATGTTACGTGTAAAAATATGTCCCTAACTTGGAGTATTTCTCTAAATGGGGCACACACATCTTCTCGACCCCCTTAAAGGCACTACGTGTACAATTGCGTCCTTACTAATCTAGGTTTCTTCTAATTTGACTTCCAAAATGTTACACCAAAAACCTTTGTAAATATCTCTGTAAAGAATATGTGTTGGTGCTGGGTTAGTTCTTGGAAACATATATATACATATACATACATATCTATCTATCTATCTATCTATAGATAGATAGATAGATAGATAGATATTTTGAGATAGGGTCTTGCTGTATAGCCCAGGCTGGCCTCAAACTCCCAATGATCCTCCTGCCTCAGCCTCCCAACTGCTGGAATCACGCCCAGCTAGAAGCCAAATTAATTGAGTTAAAGGCATTTTATATATTTTTATAGATCCTACCAATTTGTTCTTCTAAAAAATGTTGTTAATTTCGACTTTAACTAACATGACACACATACACAAAAGTGAGTATTATCAACCACTTAAATTTTTTTGTAATCTGAATGAGACAAAATTTCTCATTTTATTTCAATCTGCATTTCCATGAAATGGAGCCTAAGTTTTTATGCTTATTTTCTATTTCATTTAAATTGTCTGTTAATAACCTTGGCCCCCTATTTATTGTATTGTTTGTATTTTTTCTTTTTAGGTTATCTTTACTCTGGAAATCGAGGATGGATTTAGGTTTGTGGTTGCTGAAGCTTATGAAACTCGGGGAAATTACCTGTAACCAAAATAATACAAAGTTAAATAAGAATTTAGCTGCTCACCGCTAGCCCTGGCCATGAACTCGGAATAAACAGGCACAAGTAGGTGGTCTGTAGCTTAGCTTCATTGGCGACAACACGACCTGCCTAGAATTGACCTCTTTGTTACGTTTGCAGTGACTATTTCATCGTGAGACACTTCAGCTTTGGTGCCTGCAAATCTGTCCATATTTTCCATTTTAACTGGGGTTTGGGGACCCTGGCTCTGGTTCCTTTTGGGTTTTGCCGGTTACTTGGGTGTCGCTGAGCCTCTCCGGTTTCTGCGTTCATCCCACTCAGGTGGCACGGGAATAACGGAGCTGGGGGGAGCTGCTTCCGAGCGGAGCTGCCGATGCCGATGCCGATGCCGATGCAGCCGGGTGGGACCTGCCTCACCACCCTCCTGCTCCTTCGTCTCAGTCGTTGCCTGGCGCACTGTTTGTGTCCCCCGTGTCCGTTTCTCTGTGGGCCCGAGCGATGTAAATGTGCAGCATGGCTAAAGATGTCATCTTCCCGATTCTGCTAGAAGGTTTTGGAAATATTTTTTCTATTATAACAAGATTTTAGGTGAGAGAGAAAGTGTTTGCCTTAGTCTGTTTCGCGTCGCTATCTCGGGATCTCTCAGAGTAGCTCATTTATTTGGAAAAGAAATGGGCTTCTCCCAGTCGTGGAGGCTTGAGGTCCGAGTCCAGGGTGCTGCGGGCTTGGGGCTTGGTGAAGACTCAGCTTCAGCTCCCAGAGGGCCTTGAGTAGCGCATTCTCCAGGGACAAGGACTTCCTCTCGCCACAGCACAAGAGCAGGGCGCTGCCTGGCCCCAGTACGTCACCGCCACCTGGGGGCAGCACAGCCCTCCCTGCACCGCTGCCTTGGGGGCCATGTTCCAGTGAGGTCTGGGGAGGGGACCCTGCTTCAGAACCATCGTTGTGGCTGCACAGTTTCTGGCTGACATCAGCAGAGTCCACCAGGATCCTGCATCTGTGGAGAGAGAATGGATTTTCAGTTCTGTGTGGGAAGAGGATCCTGCTACCAAGGTGTGCTAAAGCAGCACCTTTCTGAAGCCATAAAACAGCAAATGTTCTCATAAGAAATGTGTTCTATCCCACCAACCAGTTCTCCTGTTGCCACTTGCAAAACTGCAATAAAAGCGTCTTTGAATGGATGCTCCCTCGCTATGTGCTGCGAGCTCTGAGCTGCTGCCCGTGCCACTGCTCTCCATATCCTCGCCTCCTCTGTCTCCCGTCACCTCACTTCTGTTATTTCATTCACTGCAGCATCCGGGTCACAAGCCTTTATCTTGCTGCACACCTGGTACTACAGGATGGACACCATGTGAGGTATGATAAAAGGGCACTGAGAGTTTAAATTCAAAATATTTATTATTACATTAAAAGAAACACTGTCAGGAATCCCCCTCAAAACAGTCCCCTCTCTCTGAACACACTCATCCCATTGTCCTTGCTACTTCCTGCAGCAGCTCTGGAATCCTCTTTCCTGAGGGTCTTTAGCTGTAGTGTCCTGGTTGCCTCAAAGTCCTGAACTGATTCAAAACATTTCCCTTTCACGGCCACTGTGACTCTGGGGAACAGCCAGAAGCTGCATGGTGCCAGATCAATGAATAAAGCGAATGAAGACAGAGTTATGTGTTACAAGCTGCCTTTATGTTGGATGGCGCTCAGCAGCAGCGTCCACTAGTATGTGTGATCATACCTCGTAAAGACACTCAGTGAAGAGGACTCCGGAGCTGCTTTAAAAAGTGGCCAGAATGAAGGGAGGGAAGAGCGTGTTTGGAGCGAGGGAGAGGATTTTTGAGGAGGATTTGTGGCAATGTGTCTTTTACAGCAACACATTTTTATTTAAACATTCACAGCAGTTTTGGATCACCTGCAACTCTGAGACTGTGGCCTCCCGGAGGAAGGACGTTGACTACGCAGGTGCCTGCGGCCTGGGCACTTCATCTCCCCCTCCTTCTCTGCTCGAACCCGGCAGCCTCCCGCTCCCTTCCTTTGCACAGGGTGGCCCTTCCCCTGCCTGCAGCCAAGTGTGTACATGGAACCAGAGCCTCTTGCTCCCTCTGCATCATTTTCTCTTTACCAAGCTGTTTTGAAATGAGGTCGTTGAATTTTCCATCCTGCCCTCAGGCCCCAGTGTGCCGCTCTGCCCTGCGCTGACTGATGTTGACGGATGCAGCTGTAGAATCCGGGGCTCCTGATGTCGGGGACCTGAGTGTTCGGGAGCTGGCCCCGAGCCCAGTGGGCTCCAGGGACTGCTTCGCTCTGTCCGTCTTCAGGACAGTTGAGAAAGCAATAAACCTACACAGAGCACAGGGAAGCGAATGGGAGAACAGCCAGATCCAAGTCAGGTAAACTGAGGCTCAACATTCACCGTTTGTAGAGAGTGCATTTAGATTTGGCTCTTTCTGGGGATGCTTTCGTATGGAAAGTGCTCTTCCTGCTACTGCCAGCCCTTCCCACCATCTGCCAGGCTCATGTTTGAGCCCTGTTCTGAGCCCTCCTGCCACGGTCTACTCTGCTCTCCCTCTCGGCACCTCCTGGGTCCACCTGTCCCTTCCCTCCGATCCTGGCCTGGGTTGTGAGCCAGGAGAAATGGGGTCTGGGGAGGAGTTGTTAATATTTTTCTGAAAACCCAGGCAGGAATTCGAACGTTGGCAAATCCAGGGCCTTCTTTATTTATTTGTCCTGGGAATCGAACCCAGGCCCTTTGAACTGAGCGACAACCCTGGAGTTTTTCATTTTTTACTTTTCCCAGGTGGGACTCACACTTGTGAGGTTCGGGCCTCAGCCTTCCAAGGCGCTGGAGTTTCGTGCATACACGGCCACGCCCGGACCCAGGGCCAGACCTCCCTGGGGTTAGGTAGAGCCACATGCAAGGGAAGGTCGCACTGCCATGGGGCTCTGCCACCCTGGCAGTGCCTGTGACCAGTGATTCCCACATCAGCACCACTGTTCTTAATGAACAAAACCCAGCTCGTAATCATGGCATCAGGAAGGCAGGCACCCAACACTGATGCACGTGAAGGGCACCCACTGCTCACCAGCTGCCAACTGCAGCACTGCTGGTCCCCGACTGCGAGTCACTGGGCTGTTTTTCTCAGGGACAGCTTCTGAGGTGGCCTCACACAGTGCTCACTCGTGCTCTGCGTGGAGGGCCCGTAACAGACACAGGGACACCGTAGGGTTCTTGGTCCGCCAGTGGGAGACACCAAGCCATTACTGCTGGATTTTGCATGTGGATTTCCTCCTGTGCAGTAGGAGCTTGGCCATGGGGTCCTGGGAGCTTGGTCCTTCAGAGTCAGGCACAGTAGCCAAGAGCCTCCCAGTGCTCTGGAGCCAGGCGCCCTCCAACTGGAGTCCCAGACCAAACAGGAGGACAGATGGGAGCAAGATGGAGCCAGAGAGTCAGAAAGGTCAGCCGCCCCCTCCCACGCCCCCAGTGTTTATTTAGCTTCACAACATTGGTGGCGCTCGGCGAGGGCCCAGAGCTAGCAGCTGGACCGGGCTTTTCCTGCCCTTCCCTTGACACCATTTTTCATGCTTTATAAAGGAAGGAGCACATTTTCTGGTCAAGAAATAAACAAACAACAACAAAACTTGGATGCTGGAATAAAATCGAGTCATATTCTCAAACAGAAGAAAGGATCGTTTTGCAACCAACACGCAGCGTGGTCTCAAGATTTCCATCCATCAGCAATATATGTGCCCAAAATTCACCCATTTTAAGTGAAACCTGATATTTTTAGTGAATTTATAGAACTGTGAAGCCATCAGCACAACCTAAACATACATGTTTCTGAATTCTTCTAATCCCTAAATAGTAAACATCCCTTTGCAATTTCCATCTGCCTTTTCTTGTCATTTCTTAGAAAAAGAATCATACGTTTAGTAGAATTTATTTGGATTTCATCCATCTTCCAACAAACATTTTATTCTACAAATATGTCACATTTTGTACATTCACTCGTGAGCAGACTGTTTGACTCTTGTACTTTTTAGCTCTTAATAACGTGCTCCTAATGTCATTTATATTCAAGTTTTATTTCCACACAAGTCTTCGTAGCTCTTGGGTGTGGATCAGAATTGCTATCATGTGGTACATGTATGTTTGGCATTGTGGGACGCTTCCACATTGCTTTCTGAAGCGGTTGTACCATTTTGCATTCCCACCAGCGATGTTTGAGAGCCCCAGGTTCTCCACTAGTTGTTCTTGTGGGTTTCCATCCGACTGGTTGACACGGGGAATCATTGTGATTTTGATTGTGTTTCTCCAAATCCCAATGGTGTTGAGCATGGTGTTCTATTGATCCATGTGTCTGTCCCTCCACAGAACACCATGCCATCTTGATTATGTAGCTATATAATGAGTCTTAATGTCAGGAAGAAAGATTCCTCCATTTTATAATTATTTAAGATTATTTTAGCCCTAGGCTCTGGGCCTCTTCAGATCCATTTAGAATAAATTTGTCTATGTCTATAAAACAATCTTGCTGAGATCTGGACAGAAATTGCGCTGAGGCTGTCGCTAGACTGGGGAAGAACGGGTTATCTTTGCTCTGCTGGTCCTTGCAATCCATAATCACAGTATGTGTCTCCCTTGAGTGATGATTTCTTTGGTTTATTTCATCAGCGCTTTGTAGCTTTCAGGGTGCAAGTTCTGTGCATATCTGGTAGATTCGCCTCTAGCTGTTTCATTGTTCTCAGCTATTGTAATTGCATCTTGATTTCAGTTTCCATGTATTTAGTGGGTCTGTGGCATTCATCCTGTTTGTCACACACTCTGGTGTGGGCATCCTGGTGGGAAGGGGGAATGTCAGGAGGCCTGGGCTGGGCTGGGAAGATGTAGACGCAGGCCCTGCCTCCGCCTCTTCCTGGCTCTGGGTCCTGGGAAAAACCCTGAGTCTCAGTTAATGGTTAATTCCTACTTCACTGGAGTCAGAGCAACTCGAATTATATTTCCAACTTATCACTGATGCTTCTGTCCTTCCAGGTTTTTACGTTGGAATAGATATCAGTATGTTCATTAAAATTCTTTGATGGCAAGGATGAAATGGTGGATAGAAGAGGTTGGTACAATGTGGTAGCCCATGAGAAAGTCAGTGCTGGGAGTTGGGACTACAGAGTAGAGGGATATTTAATACTATGTAATACTTAAGTGTCCCTCTCTCTGTCTCTCTGCCTCTCTGTCTCTCTCTGTGTCTATCTGTCCCTCTCTCTCTCTGTCTCTCTCTCCTGCTGTTCAGTGCTGTCTTGTTGTCTATCACTGTCCCTCAAAACTTCTGCTAAGTTCTGAAATACCTATTTGCTCTAGATATATGCATGGGCAGCAGAGCTGGGATATTATACCTGACAAGTAGATGGGATCAAGAAAATGAAACTAGAAGCCATGCCTGGTGGACAATAGCAGAGAAAAAAATCTTTTATGGTTTGAAAATGAGAGAAATGTCCAGTTGTTTTTTTTTTTTGGTACTGGGGATCAAACTTAGGACCTTGAATTTGCGAGGCAGGCATTGGAACCACTGAGCTAAATCCCCGGCCCAAAATTTCCAGTTTTAAAAAAGAAATACCCATGTTTATAGCAGCACAACTCATAATAGCTAAATCTTAGAAGCATCTTATGTGCTAGATAAAGAAAATGTGAGATTATGTATACATGAGAGTGTATATATATGGAGAGAGACAAAAATATACACACACTTTAGGAAAAGAAAAACATAAACATTTTAATACTAAATGTATTGAGAAATCACGAGATTAACACAAGGTTCCTTTGGCCTCTACAGTTACCAGAGGAGCTCAAAGTGGTGGCCACCGGCTTCCACACATTTATTAGTAGGTGAACTGCTGCTCGGGTGCCCTTGGCCATTGAGATAGCTGCACATGCATTTTCAGTTTCTTCTCTGAGGGCCGGCAGTGTAGTGGGTTTCTGTGGTGTATGACATCCTCTAGGGTCCCCCAGGTGAAGGTAACACCATCTGTTGAATAAGCATCAGACTATTTTTCTTTTCCAACAGTGTGTATACATTTTTTGGGCAGGCTCTGTATATACACAATAAAGTACTACTCAGCCATAAAAAAGGTAAATTTGAGTCATTTGTAGGAAAATGGATGCAATATGAAATCATAATACTAGGTGAAATAAATCAGACACAGACAATTAAATATCACACAGTTTCTCATATGAGTCACCCAAAATATAAACAGTTTAAAGAGCAAAACAATAGAGATGATACAAAACAGGAAGGTAGACTTTGTAGAGATGAGAAGGGGATCTGGGGACGGGGAAGACAGGAGGGAGAGGAGGGGAAAGGGGAAACAAAAAGATTAAAGTGAACAGGGGTATATACCAACTCCCTGTGACGAATGTATTCATTATGGATTACAAACATGCATTTAAAAAAGAGGAAACTGAGGCTATGAAGTGTAGGCAACCAGGAAGTGACCGGGGCAGTGCAGGGCTTCCCACTGACTCAGTGTACCTCCCCTGAGGCCGACAGCGCAATGTCCTGTGTTTTCTGAGATGTCCATGGGGGGCATGGAGGGGGACGTGCACCCAAACTATCCAGGTGGTAGGGGACACATCCGGTCTGGTGCTGGCCAGGAGAGGAGCACAGCCTGACTCAGCTTCCTGGGCTGACCGTTCAGGAGCGTGTTGGGAAATAACACAGCACCCTACGAGTAAGGCTTGAGCATCTTGGTGGAGGCTCGACTCCCAGGGACGTGGGTGGGTTACTCTGTCTGACGTCTTCTGCCTCAGGAGGAAAGCTTGACACACAGCTGACAGCAGGCAGCATGGGAGAACGGAGTGGAGCAGCACATGGGCACTTCCTGCCCCGTCTCTTTGTTGAATGACTAAATTCTATCTTTCCACGTAAGTAATTAAGTTGAATACTGTAAATATCCATTTAAAATTCCAGGACTTGGTTCAGGGAACCAGCCCAAACCCTCTAAAACAGAGGTCTGAGAGACAGAGGAGGAAGGAATGCTCAGGATTAGCTCAAGTCACCTGCAGGATATTGTCCTGGAAATGTCCCCGTCCTGTCTCACCCAGCAGACAACCTACTCCGCACACAGGCTCCTCGAAGAGATGCATTTGAAACATTGCAATTAATTTTAAGCTAGATATCAGTGCTACTCGGGGAGACTTCAGTGTCTTCTATTTGTTGTCTTTGCAGAACATTATCTTGCTCTCCAGGGCTCCTGTGATACAGTGGCCCGGTCGCTTGTAAACGAACGAGGGAACTGGAAACAAAAGTAGCCTGTAAGAGATAAGTGAGGTTGCCTAACACAAACCAGGCCTTTGACATTTGTTATTTAGAGGGTATTTTAATGTTCAAAATATTTGCTTTTCCTTCAGACGCCTTCCAAGAGGGTTTATCTTAGCATGCGGAGGCTGGCTGGGATTTTGCAGGGAAACAAAGATCAGTCACACAAAGTGGCCTTGGTCATTTCTCAACTCTTTTTGAAAAGTTGCAGAGCTGTGTTTTGCAAGAGGCCTGGCTGTGGGACCCAGAGCAGACAGGGTGGGCTTCAGGTGTCTACGAGGGAGCCCTGCGCCCACCACCTTAGGACAGCGAAGGGGCAACTGCTATCTGTGTATCTGTAGGTGTCAGAGGTGGTAGAAAGGAGGGGGTGGTGACAGCTCACAGGGCGCAAGGCCTGGACAAATGTCCTCCACTTAGTTCTCATTGAGTGCTCAGAAGACTCCTGAAAGTAGCTTCTAATGGCCCCTGTGCTTGCAGATGAGGTGACAGGCCATGGGGACCTCAGTGGCCCAGAGCCAGCTGAAGCCATTGAGCACAGAGCCAGACATTCAGAAGCCCACACTGTTCCGAAAAAGTATCAGAGAGAATGCGTCCCACCCTCTCAGACTCAGTTTTCAACAAAAGCAAAACAGGCATCGAGTGCATGGTCTGCAGCCTGGGTCTGAGGGGCTCAGGATTATGCTGCCGGAAAATTAAGACTGAGTTTTGCCTGTGTGAAAACCAACTTGAGTTATGCTTTTTTTTTTTCTACTTCCCCACCCTAGGACACCAATTATCGCTCTGCCCAGGTAATGGACTCTATGTTTCCATTAAAGTGCATTCATGTATAAGGTTGTTTTGTAAAATTCTAGTGAAAGAGTAGCTCACCCAAAGTCAGGCTTTCTCTTTCCTAGCAGACTAGTTAGGAAGTCACCCTTGGGCGCATCCATGCCATCTACACCTTCCTTCCTGCAGGAGAAAGCAGAGCACAGCCACACCTAATTCTTCAGAGCTTTAGTCTCCAACACTTTCACCACAGCTGCCGAGCTCAGCCTCCTGGGCCAGGAATCCGGAAGCTGGGAGCTCTGCAGAGCTGGGTTTCAAGTTTCCCTCTGGAGCCTCAGGCTGTGCCCCGCAGCTGTGGGCTGGTGCAGTCACCTGAGAGGTCACCTTCTTCCAGATCAGGTGCTGGTGTGTCCTGGAGAAAGCGCCTGGCTGCTACAGTAACCCTGGATTCAATGTAGACAGACTGTCACAGGACCAGGAGGGCGCTTCCTTCTCTGGACGGCACCTTATTTAATCCTGCCCCACACTCTGCCTGCTAGGGGATGCCTTTGAAGGAGTTAAGGACATTTGCCAAATTGGCAACTGGGTCACAGTGATCCGGGATAAACCAGCTCTGCAGTAGCCTTCCCCCGAGGGCATCTCCACCCCACCTCCTTAGATCTCTTAGTACAGCCCTGGAACTTCCTAGCCTAGTCCCGAGATCCTATGTCCTGTCCCCCCACCCCATGTATACCATTCTCTGGCCAAAAGGTATACAAGCATCAGGCTTTGATCATTGCTTCAGGTTTCTCTTTCCTGTCAAGGTCCCCGGT